CACAGATTGGAGGGTCCTCTCCCCTCCCCAGAAGTGGGCTGCCCTTACCAACAATGCCCGCAGCCTGCTTGTGAGCTGAGGAAGGGCACCTTTCCCCGCTCACCCGGCGCGTCTACCGGTGCCCAGCCTTTCCTGATAGACTAGTGTCCTTACGCAAAGGACGTATCTAGTTCAGCCGGCTCCAGTTCCTGAAACTCTCCTACTGTCGTGGTGGCGACTTCACTCGATCCGAATCCTCCTTTCCTGGCCAGTGCACCAGAAGGGGGAAAAAAAAGTACCAAACCCACTGCCATTGAGTTGATTCCGACTCATAGTAACCCCCACTGGGTTTCCGAGACAGTAAATCTTTACAGAAGTAGCTTGTCCAGTTTTTCTTCTGTGGAGTGGCTGGTGGGTTTGAACCACCAACTTCTGGTTAGCAATCAGATCCTTTAGGCACTGTGCTAGCAGAGCTCCTACTTAGGAAAGGCACATTAAATAAATCAGTAAAACAGTTAATATGTCAGATATAATAACAGGGAGTGCTAGGGATGGTGGTTGCAATTATAAACACAGTATTAGGGAAGTCCTCATTGAGAAAATAATAGTTGACCAAAGACCTAGAGGGGTCGCTAGGAGTCGGGGCCGACTCGATGGCAAATAACAACAAAAAGCAACAAAAGACCTAGAGGTGATGATGGAAAAAGTCATGGAGACATCAGGAAAGAGTATAGATGAAATAGCAAGTGCAGTGCACCAGGCAGGAACATGTCTGGTGAGTGCTAGCAACAGTAAACAGGTCAGAGACATAGGCCTTGTAGGTAATTTTAGGCTTTTACTCTGAATAACATAGGAAGCCATTAGAGGGTTTTGAGCCGATAAATGAGGTAATACAGCATGTTTGGAAGGGATTTCTTGAGGTAGCATGTTGAGAATAGACCTGAGAGGGCAAGAGCAGAAACAGAAGACTAGTAGGAGGCTGTTGCCACAGTCTGGATGAATGGTAATGGTGGCGTGAACCAGGGTGGTAGCAGAGGAGGTGGTGAGAGAGTTTGGATGCTGGATACATTTTGTATCCAACGTGGATTTTGAGAGAGAAACAGTTGAGAAAGACTTTGTTTTTCTTTTTAATAAGTTGGGCAACTAAAATAGAGTTGCCATTTATCATAATAGAGTAGCAAGTTTTGGGAAAAGAACAGCTGGTTTGGCTGTTAAACTTGAGATTCTCTTAGACTTCATGACGAGACAGATGTTGAGTATGCAATTTGACGTAAGAGTTTGACGTTCAGAGGAGATGTCCTGCAGGAGGTTGCATTTGAGTGCTTTTGGCACATGGGTGGTATTTAAAGCCACAGGAGTAAATGAAGTCACTGCAAAAACGGCAAGGAGGCCACATGTTCTGACCTCCTCTAACCCTACAAGGGGAAGGCAGGATTACCAGCAGTAACCCAAGGCCTATTACTGCCAGGCCAGACATGCTGCTTCCCTCCAGCCCTTTCACCAACCGTTCCTCCCAAAGCACCCACCACCTCTCTCCTGGGTTCAATAATTCACTGCAGTGGCCACACAGAACTCACAGATTATGGGGTTTATTAGGGAAGCACCAATAAATCAAGTTCAGGAAGAACTATAACTCAAGTTCAGGAAGAACGCTCAGTCTCTCTCCCAGTCCACCGTCCCTCAGCCAACAGTTTCTCACAGTCTCTTTCCCAGCAGTGCTGGTCCCTCGGTGTCTCACTCAGCAATGCATGTCTCTTTCCCAGCAGCACGTGTCTCTTTCAGGGGCGCATATCTTTTTTGGCAGCACATCTTCCTGCAGCAGCAGTCAGAGCGAGTTCTGCCTCCAGGAGGCCTCCTTTTGAGCCCGGAAGGGTGATCAAACTAGCCAATCACAGCATCAGAACTCTAAGCACATGAGAGAGAGTGGGAACCTCCCAGAACACTATTGTGCCACGCCCAACAGAAATAACCCAGGTGGATAGTTCCTCAGTTGCTCATAGAAAATCCCACCTTGGAGTTTACAAAGACTTATGGGTAGAAAAGCCACACTAAGTAATTTACTACACCGCAGTCACCAAAGTCACACAAATAGAGAAAAGAAGAGGTCTGGGACCAAGCCCAGGACATACCTTGGCATGGAGGTAAGCTCTGGTGGCATAGTGCCTAAGGCATTTGACTGCTAACCAGAAGGCTGGTGGTTCAAATCCACCAGCCACTCCTTGGAAGGAAGATTGGGCAATCTTCTGTAGTGATACCGCCTCAGAAACCCAAGGAGGGGTCACTACAAGTCAGATCCGACCCAACAGCAGTGAGTGTGGTTTGGTTTTTTTGGAAACTAGCTAAGGAGACTGAGAAGGAACAGTCATTGACATAGGAGGAAGTTCAAGAGAATAATATTGTAAAAAGCCAAGTGAATAGTGTTTCAAGAATGAATGATAGCAATGGAGAACAGATCAGTGGTTGCAAGGGCAGGGTGGAGTTGGGGAAATGGTTTAAAAAGGGGTTATGAGTAAACTTTTTAATTTGATGGGTGTGTTATATACATATATCACTCAACAAACTGTAGACTTTTAAAGTATGCAGTTTATTGTGTATCAGTTATACCTTAATAAAGCTGTTTTCTTTTATTTTAATTATACACCCATTCATGATTTTTAAAAAAAGGAGGGAGGAGTGATCCGCTGTCACATGCTGCTAATAGGTCAAGTAGGTGAGAATTCAGGGTTGGACATAGGAAATAGCTGCATCCTTGGTTACCTTAACTAAAATACCATCAGTGGGGTTGTGGGCATGAAAGTGGGATTTGTGAATGTTCAAGAGATAATGGGAAGATACGAAGTGGAGACAGTACAGATACTCTTTTGGAAGAGTTTTGCTAAAAAGGGGAGCTGAGAAATGAGACGAGACATAGGAAGTCAAGATGAAGGTTTTTGTTTTTAAAAAGGGAAAAATTAGAGCTTGCAAAGATAGCTTGTGTTTATGCTGATGGGAGTGAATCAACTGAGGGAAAAAAAATGACACAACACAAAAGAAAAATTGTTATGGCGAAAGGGGTGAGTTGCTGTAATAGTTAGCTATATATTCCTCTTTTGCCATTGGTCTCAAGAATCTAGTCATAATTTTAAAAATTAATTTCCAAATCAGTTTGGATATACTTTTTATTTTATGCATCATTTACTGAAAAATTTTGCTTTTTGTGGATTACTTTTGAAGATATCCTCATTTAAAATCATGTACATTTTTATGCAATCTTTGATATTCTTAATCTTGTCTATTTCTAAAATGTGTATTTATTATGTGTTGATGTATCATATTTTATGTCATAGAATTGATGATATCCGTGCTTCACTAAATAAAATGCAGCTCTTCCAATCAGCATGATTAATTTTTTAGCTGTTACCACCTTTATGGTAGCTTATCTAGAATATTTTCTTAATAAGGTTGAATTATACTGTGCTCTCTCTGTAAAGTAATTATTTGAAATAGTTTTACTAAAGAATTAGATGAAGTAATTTTTGTGTTGCCAGTACTCTTATGATCGACTGCTTTGGAGGTGGGTGAAAATTGATAGGATTTTTTTCTTTGTGTAGAAATTTACTTAATTTAATAACTGACCATAATTGTTTCTTCAGGTAATAGGACACCCAGGAACTTTCAAAAGAGGCCTTTTATTCTCAGCTTTGTCTTATTTGGGTTTTGAGGCTTACCAGGTCCTTTCTCAGGCTGCAGTGGTTCATGCCACAGCCAAAGGTAAACCTAAACTAAATATCTGCTTTCCTGTCTTTTTTTTTTTCTCTGGGGGTAGAATGAGTGGAGGTTTATTTTTATCAATATATAAGAATAGATAATTAAACGAACATAGGCTAGATTAATTTCTGCTCTTCTTTACTTGTGAGTCTGAGATCTGTCTCTCTATAATTTCTTCCAGAAACGCAAGTTCTTTCAGAGATAATCTACTGATACTTTATGTTTTTTAAGGTTCCTTGAGCTAAGAATGTTTTTTTGAAAAGTTGAAAGGTTGTGGGGAGAAAAAAAGAATATCAGAAAGACATAAATATATAGACTGCAAAGCCTGAAATCCGATACTTGTGAATCTTTATGGTAAAAGTCTGCCCACCCCTGCTTTATAGTGACAGAAGGATTCTGTTGTTTCCCTAACATCACAGTGTTACATACTTCTTGATATGATTTTTAATTTTTCAAAACCAAAGTGCCAAAGCAGAGACGGGAATCCATACATCTCTATTTCTCTTTGCATCTATCACACTTGGTTCAGGTGTCTCAGCACCATTACAGAAATGATGCAAAGACTTACTGCTTCCCTGAGCAACAAAATATGACATTTTGAAAGGCAAAGGCAAAATTCCTTTTAGCCTTAATGGTCATAGTCCCGTTTTTTCAGAAGTGTCTGAATGACATAAAAGTTATCATATTAAATTAAAAATAACATTTAGATATCCAAGGTTTAACTTATTTTGAAAATTAAGTTCATTATTTTTATTACAGATTTGAATGCAAATGGATTTATGTAGAGTAGAATTATGTTTGTGTTTTTATACACATTTAGAGCATTTAAAAAGTTAATGCAAAGAACAGTATATAAGTATTTGTTTAGCCTGCCTTGATTTTCCGTAGTTTTTTTTCTTTATAATTAGTTGACTGGCAGGTTCATATAATTTGTGAGACTATAGACCATAATCTTTGAAAAGTAATTAATTATTGGTAGAATATAGAAGCCAGGCTTCTTTTCTTTTTGAAAAATGATCCATGTTTTTATAAAAACAGAGTTTTATTGGCCCTTGACAAGTTGGCAAGTTTTATTTTGTCACATATCTCTTCTACTTTCTATGCTGTGATCCTTATTTTTCATATTTTTAGGAATTGATTTTCAAATAATAATTTCACACATCAAATTAACTTCTGCATAATTATCTTTAGATCTACTTTATACTCATCACTTTTTTTTTTTTAAGCTAGTATAATTATGTCATGACTTTAATAAAAAATACTTACATGGTTGTGTTATAAGTTTCACATATTTGGCTGGTCTAAATTATAATTTTTTTTTTTAACTTTTAAAATGTTTAACTTCACATACTTATGATTAAAATATACTGAGATAAATAATAAACTCAAATGACATATTATGGGAATGCTAGCTTGTAAATAGGACTAAGTAGTATAGTATCTTTATAAAAGCCAAACCCACTACCACTGAGTTGATCTGAGTCATAGAGACCCTTATAGAAGACAAAATTAAATGTGTATATTGCTAGTAATAATTGTAATATCCTGATCTTTATACTTACTGTTTTTTCAAGAAGTAGTCAGGTTTTTTTTAGGGTATTACATTGTCTATAAAGTTTGTGTGTTTTGTGGTAGTGTCTAAGCTAGTTAACAAGTTGATGTCATTGAGGTAATTTTAGATTTTCTGTATAGTTAACCAAGTTCTTGATGACACATTTGACTTTTCCATAAAAGTTAGGTCATAAAGAGAATCTGGTAAACCAATTTGGTTCAATTCATACAAATTAGTAATTTCTAGTACTCCAAGTGGATGAATTATATCATCATTTTATTTTCTACAAAGGGTAATATTTAACAACAACAAAGATTTTGTGTGGCTGATATTTGTACCATAAATTCTCATAAGAAATTGATTTTTGAAAAATTTTTAAATGTATCATATTTAGTCAGTACCAGACTAAATTTTTTTTTTTTTTTTTTAATTTCCATTGTTTCAGTAAATCACTGATACTGATAGCTTCCTATTTATTTCTACTTTATTTCTGTATAGGTTCTTCAGAATTTATCTTTCCTTATAGGTGATTTCTATATCTGATTTCTTTTGTTGGTAGAGAAAAGTGTATATGTTTCTTAGAGTTGATGCCTTTTGTCTTAGAAAGAACTACTTCATTGTGTCTTTTTTAAAATATCCTTCAAAGTTGAAGAAATCCTTGAACAAGCAGATTACCTATATGAAAGTGGAGAAACTGAAAAACTTTATCAGTTGCTGACCTCATACAAGGAAAGGTAAGCAGTATGATTGGCCTGGGTTTGTGCTTTCCTTACAATTTTAGTGTTTTTAACAATTGGAATGATCCTTGGTGCTTGACATTAATATAATAAGTTATTGTAGTTTTTACTTAATATGATATTCCCTAAAGTTTTATTATAGTATAATGTTTATTCCTTACATTAAAGACTGAAAAGTGCTGCATGTATCTCATTGGTTTAGATAAGTTGTTACTTAACTTACTCATTCTAGTAAAATTTTGAGGTTTTTTTTCCTGTGTTTTACTAGTTCGCTTTGGGTCATGCAATATGATCAGTGGCTGTAGATTTATCTCAAATGTCTATATTGTGTATTTCTCATTCCTTTTTGTTAAGTAATTCCTTATTGGAATAAGAATTAAACGATTTACTGAGAATTAGGATCATTATATGCCAATGTCAAATGTTATCTGTGTATAAATTCAGAAGCAGTCTTTGCAGAGAAACTAAAAGTCCTTTCTTTTTCTATTTTTAGTATTAGATTACATTTTTAGTCCAGAATCAGTGTGTACTTATTTTTGGGAGGAAATAATAATTCGACTACAAAATAAGTCAAATAAAGGGGAATAACTTTTCGAGCTCTCTCATCTGTTTTCCTAAACTACAAATACTGACTCATTTTCAGCCACCTTTTTAGATTACCAAGGACAGGTGCCTTTACATCTCTCTTGCCTTCTCCATTCTGCCCTCAGTAACTTGAGGTGACTCATTTGGATTTCAGTCATTTGTCTTTTCAGTAATAATTTGGAATGTAAGTTGTCAGATAGTTATTCCATATTTATTGAATTATAAATGTACAGTCATTACCTTTTCTTTGTGTGAAATATTTAAAAACTTTCAAAATTCTGTGTGAATACTATTTTTTGTTTAAAAAAACCCAAAATATATAAAGTAGGCTTAAAGGCAACTGTTTAATAAAGAATAATTTAAAGTTAGTTTTAAAAAATATTTCAAACACTTAATTGTGGTTAGGAGCTCTGGTAGATAGTGCCTAAGGCATTTGACTGCTAACCAGAAGGCTGGCAGTTCAAACCCACTAGCCACTCCTCAGAAGGAAGATTGGGCAATCTATTTCCATAGTGATAAATGCCTCGGAAACCCAAGGAGGGGTTGCTATGAGTCGGATCCAACTGGATGGCAGTGAGTTTAGTGTTTAATTGTGGTTATTATTAATCATTTCTTATTTTATATTATTGTTTTAAATGGCAGGTCCTCAAGGAATCCAGTGCCCTTACTTGAAATAAGAAGCCATGCATCATGGCATGGATGATGCATTCAAACAGAATTTATTTTGAGATAACATTATATTCAATCATTCATTCACTATCAAATATTTATCATATATACCAGTTGTGTGCTAGGCATTGTATTTGGGGCTAGGGATACAATAGTTTTGTGTTTTTAGGGCATGACCTGTCTATCATGAAGTATATGTATTTTATGATAGTGTCTGAACCATTTACTGAGTTGCATGATACACAGTTCTAGTGAGGTCATGTGTTAATTTATACATTTTTGTAGAGCAGGTATTTAGAGAATTCAAATACATAGATGCTTTCTAAGGAAATCAGTATTTAGATACTATAGCTCAGTTAATATTTATAAATAATATGAGATAATTTTATAGGAAATTTTAGCAAAAAGTTTTTATGTGAAAGAAAATAAATTGAACAATAATAGGTTTTTGGTAGCATGCGGCTTGCTATCATCTCACTAGTCTGAGAAACCATAATGTATTGATTAACTAAGTGATATTTAACAAATTAAAAATGCTACTTAAATGGTCATTTTATATTTTATTTCAAATTAGTGAAGATGCAGAGTTACTGTGGCGCTTGGCACGAGCATCACGTGATATAGCTCAACTTAGCAGAACCTCAGAAGAGGAGAAAAAGCGACTGGTGTATGAAGCCTTAGAATATGCAAAAAGGGCACTTGAGAAAAAGGAATCAAATTTTGCAGCTCATAAGGTGAGGTGCTTAAAATAACTAAGCTGCTACCATGTACTAAGGAATACATTAATCGTAGTTATCTGTTCTATTTTCCTTAGCTGACATAAGAAAGAATATTGCTGTATGTACTTTAAGGAACTAGGAAAAAGATTTATTTTGGTAGCATCTTTTCAAAAAGAAGTAGGTTGCATGGTTTTTTTTTTTAATTCTTAAATAATCATTCTAAATTTATTGTTATGTCTGATAAATTACATTTGTGAATGCTTATTTTTACATAAAAGTATTGTAGCTTCCTGACTTACATGACTTATATTTAGTAGTACAAGCACTAATTTGGCAAACATTTTCTCATGTTCCTCATATTACATTTCTTCATACTCTATTTTATGTGGAGGTAGGAATATAGTAGCTGGACAACTGAAATCCAGTATGATTTTTCATATGTAACTAACTCATCTCATTTCTGGATTTCCTAATTGGTTCAGAACAGTGTTCTTCAGTGGACAGTATTGGAGAACAGGGGAGGCTATTGGCATTTTGGATTAGGACATTTCTTTATGTTGGACCATCTTCCAAGTCATTGTGATAATCAGAGTCCATCCTCATACATTTCTGAATTCTCCCTTTAGGGGTTTGGTAGCACACCTCCTTACCTTACCACTACCTCCCCCCCAAAAAAAATAGAACCACTTTTTTATATTAATGATAAAACAGATGTATATCCTTTTATATTTATCAAGACTTATTTTCTGTATTTTTCACCAACACCACAATTCAGAGGCATCATTTCTTCTTCAGGCTTCTTATTCATCTAGCTTTCACTTGAGTATTGAGGCTGTTGAAAAGACCATGGCTTGGGTCAAGTGCACTTTAGTCTTCAAAGTGACATCTTTGTTCTTTAACACCTTAAAGAAGTCTTTGCCCAGTGCAAAACGTTGTTTGATTTCTTGACTGCTGCTTCAGTGGTTGTTGGTTGTAGATAAAAGTAAATTAAAATCCCTGACAACTTCAGTTTTTTCTCCATTTAGCATGGTGTTGCTTATTGGTCTAGTTGTGAGGGTCTTTTTTTTTTTCTTTATGTTGAGGTTGTAATACATACTGAAGGCTGTAGTCTTTGATCTTCATCAGTAAGGGCTTCAAGTCTTCTTCACTTTCAAGGTGGTATCATCTGCATATTGCAGGTTGTTAACGAATCTTCCTCTAATCCTGGTGCTGCATTCTTCATGTAGCCCAGCTTCTTGGCTTATTTGCTCAGGATACAGATTGAATAAGTATGGTGAAAGGATATAACCCTGACACACAGCTTTCCTGATTTTAAACTATGCAGTATCCTTGTTCTGTTAAAATGACTGTGTCTTGGTCTATGTACAGGTTCCTCATGAGCACAATGAAGTGTTCTCGAAGTCCCATTCTTTGCAATGTTATCCATAATTTGTTATAATCCACACAGTTGAATATCTTTGCTTAGTCAGTAAATCACAGGAGTCCTGGTGGCATAGGGCCTAAGGCATTTGACAAACCAGAAGGCTGGCAGTTCAACCCCACCAGCCACTCAGAATGAAGATTGAGTTGTCTGCTTCCGTAGAGATACCGCCTCAGGAACCCAAGGAGTGGTTGCTATGAGTCGAAATCAACTCAACAGCAGTGAGTTTGGTTTTTTGTTTTGTTTTTTTAAACATCTTTTTCATGCTCTTTGCTTTTATCCAATATCATTGGATGTCAGTGTGATGGTTGGAGCTGTGTGTCAACTTGGCTGGACCCACAGTTCTGTGTGGTTTAAGCAATTGTGATATGGGTTGTTCCAATGATGGATCAGATGTATGTGTTTTGAGCAGCCAATCCGTTGAAAGGGAGTTTCCCTAGGGGTGTGGCCTGCTTCCAGTATATTTATGGACATCCTGGGAAAAGAGACTCTCTTCTGTGGATTGGGATTCTTCTGTGCTGCCTACAACTGTCCGTGAGCGAACAATACACCATTCAGCCTGGAGATCTTGGATTCGTCATTCATTGGAGTCAACAGCCACTATACTGCCTGCCATCCTTGAGCTCCTCAGCCCCTGTGGCTGTGTGAGTCGGGAAAAGCCTCCAGCTTGATGTTTGATCCAAGAACTTTGGACTTGCCAGCTTCTATAAGTGTGTGAGCCATTTTCCTAAGATAAATTTCTCTTTCTCTCTCACTCTGCAAAAATGGCAAGGAGGCCA